ATTGGCCGAAGACATTTGCAATGCAATAAATTACTTCGATATGTTGAATGTAAGAAATGACGAAAAGGCAGAGAACATTTTGGAAGACATCCAAGATCTCTTCGGTATTATAAGCTTGTTAAACATCGAAGAAGAATTAAAAGCCTATGTATTACAAAGATTAGAACGTGCAAGAGATCTGTTCGAGGACCCCAATAAATCAGAGATTTATACAAAAATGTTAAATACGGGATGCAAACACACAGTTGCATACCACACGGCATATTTCGACAAATTTTCGGACGATACAAAAAAATCGCCAAAGGAGAATTGGTATTTTACTGTAGACTGCATTCACTTCTTACACAAATCACAAATCAACGAAACCATGAAAAATGAAGCGATCTTAAAATTGGAAGCTTTGAAAGGAAATTTCGAATTCGAATTGATCGAACACATAGACACAGCAGAAAGTTACTTCGATATGTTGAATGTAACAAATCACGAAAAGGCAGAGTACATTTTGTAAGACATCCAAGATCTCTCTGATATTATAAACTCGTCAAACATCGAAGAAAAATCAAAAGACTATGTATTACAAAGATTAAAACGTGCAAAAGATCTGTTCGAGGACCCCAAAAAATCAGAGATTTATACGAAAAAGATAAGTTCGAGATACAAACACACAGTTGCACACGAATCGGCATACTCTACTGAATAAAACAATGTATCATGAACTGCTTAGAATTTTTTTATTAAGTTTTAAAAGAACTAGTATTGATAAGTAAATATTCCTTTGATTTCATTAGCATTACTATAGCTTATCCAATAGTAAATCTTCCTCTTTTCTGTTCACTTTCTACAATGAAATTTTTTACATATAAATGTTCGAAAAATTTTTTTTTTATTAAAAATAAGTTACCCACAACAATATTCGCAAACAAATTTTCCCCTAAACAAAAATTGAATTCAATTATTTTTACTAGAGAATTTTCCATTTTATATTGTCAAACCAATTTTTATTTCAATTTAATCTTTTTATCTATATTTCATATTACAAATTAGTTTTAATCAAATCTTGTATTTTCATCAATCTTTTTAAATCCTTTCAATTATCAAATAAAATGTTCTTTTGAGCGTAAAATCATTACAGTTTCTTTTTGGTGGTAAAATATAGAAGTTTTGTAAATTTAGCGGGTAAAATCTTATGGCGAAATATCGTCATGCGAAATATGTGCATCGCATGTGAAATATGTGCATACGAAATGTGTGCATGTGAAATGTGTGCATACGGAATATGTGCATGTGAAATATGTACAGCTGTCAAAAATCGATATTTTATTAATATGTTAATGAACAACATATTTTAATAATTAATAAAAATTTTGAAACACCATATTTATTAACGTTAATAAATATAGTGCATTTTATTAACATATTAATAATTATTAGTATGGTGAATTTTCGGTTATTAATGTGGTGTAGATTTTATTAAAATGTTAATAAAATGTGGTTATTAATATGGTGCCGATTTTATTAGAATTCTAATAAATTCGACAACATATTGGATTTTATCCGATTTTATCAACGGACGACATCATGTTCACATCAAATTCTATTCAACACAGCGTTTAGATTGATAATTTTATACTTTATGTATAAAAATCGAATTCATATTTAAAATTCCATTTTTATCCAAACACACATAGAAATAAAAATAAAAATAAAAATAAAAAAGCCGTGAACATATAAACCTTAAAACTTTGCTTTGCCACGTAGTTTTTTTTTGCTGTCTCTCTATCGCTGGTTCTCAGTCAGTGGTCACATTTTATCACAAGTGAATGAATGGGCTCGGCTTATTATGAAATATTGCAGTAATTGGATGCATTGTATGTTGTGTGTGTGATATGCTTGAAACCATTTCCTTCCGGTACAAAAGCGAAAAATTCCGATGAGAATCGTATCATCGCCGCAAGAGCTGTAACTTCAGCGGTTGTTTGCTTTGTATTTTTCGTTCCCTTTGTATATTTGCCAACGGATTGTTTTTCTATTGAGATAGTTTGGATAATGGGTCTTTGTTTACAGGAATCGAAACACTTGAATTATTTTTCAAACTTGACGAAAAAAAACCAGCACAAGCCTCACTAATGCCAACTGAAAACGTTCTTTTGTTCTGTTTTGAAACATTCCACACATTCCGTAAATGGGAATAAAAACATTAAAATTATGAAATGTAGGATTGATCATGCCTCTTTTATCCCGTTTCACAAGCACCGATGATTCGGTTGGTATTGTCCGATGCACGCAGAAGCTCATTAATTACCCTCATTAGGACTGACGCTATCTTTTACCATGAACTGCATCACTCATTAATATATTTATATTTATTTTTTCTTTTCGCACAACACCAATTTAGAACATAGGTTTCATTCGAAATATCAATTAGTTTACGTCCATTAGTGGAACAATTTTTTGAGTTCAGAAATATTAGTTGGTACAGTCAAAGTCGGTACAGTCATAAACCGTTCCTATGTACAATTTCTCTGTTCCTTCTTATTTAATGCTTCGCATTTCACATGCACATATGAACCCGTGAGCATAAAAACAACGTATTGACTCTTCGCCGATGAATACGAAACGCAAAAAAATCGCCGAACAAAGTGAAACACCAATCTGTTATTGGATCAATATGAAACATGAAATCGTTGGCCACTATTTTATTTACGTTGCGCTTTGTTTCGAAGCGCGGCAAGTGTTTCATTTTGTTCCAGTAACAGAACGTTGTATCACTTTGTTCGGCGACGCGCTCAATGTACTGTTTTGAAAAAATATGCATGATTGAAACAAAAATGTTTGATACACTTTTGAGTCCATTGGTATGATGATTCATTTTAATGGTGGTTTTGGTCGTGATTTGTCTATGAAAAAAATACTATATGAAAATCGAAAAAAAATTTAAACTTTTTTTTTCGACTGTTGCCTATTTCGGATCGTCTACATGGGAAGTTTGTATGAAATCCTCGGAACGCGGGTTCACGCTGCTGTGAATACATTGGTTTATATAGTGAAATCTATACATTGTAGTAACGCAGTGAATGAGTGAACAGTATGAGTGCTGGTAAACGACTGATTTATTGTACGATTCTTAATACTAATGAACAATAGCTGTCAGTGTCAGTGATGACAGATACTTATGCTACATCTCCCTTTTTCTAACTGTGTCCTTTGCCTCCCTTTTTTCCAAAAATATATGTATATGTTATTTATTTTCATTTACTAAATGTATTCTTAATCTCAATTCAAAGAAGGCAGGAAACAATATTCAAGAGAAATAATCTAAGCTAAATGAAAAAAATTGAATGAAAATTTTACTTCAAAGAACAAGATTTCATTAAATAACACCAATTTATAAGTTCGGCCACTCCGTGTGCATTTTCGATGAACGTGGGCTATCGGTGTTTGATTTGTTTTGTCTTGGTTCGTGTTTTCATTAAATATTCGAATGTGCCGTGTGTTCCGACGATAGTCTCGACCGTTAGATCGAACAACATATGACCGTGGTGTATCGTGTTTATCAACAACGTTCCCGTGTTGCCATTTGTCGTTGTTTCTGAATAAAACGCTTTGTTCATTTTTTAAGTCGAGGTTTCTCGGCTTGGCACATTTGTCGTAATATGATTTACAGATCTTTTGCTTTGCTTGTTGATGTTTTTCGACGTCAATGCATAATTCGGGTCGAAATTTATCGATGTGCATTGGCAATTCAGTTCTCAAATTTCGATTTTGAATTAGCTGAGCTGGCGAATATGACATGTTTTTGGTTGGTGTGGTGCGGTATGCGAGCAATGCTCTGAGAATATCTTCTTCATTCTCTGACTTCCTTAAAATATTTTAACAAATACCGACCGCTTTTTCAGCCATTCCGTTTGACTGTGGGAAATTAGGGCTGCTTGTAATGATTTCAATATCATGCTTTTTTGCGAATTGTTTGGTTTCATAAGAACCCATTGGCATATTATCTGCAATTATTATATGTGGGTAACCAAATGTAGCGAATAGCCTTAATAATTCTGTATTTACATGATGAGCAGTTTTGCCTTTCAATTTAACTAATTCTATCCACTTCGAATAGAAGTCAACTACGAAAAGAAAACTCTTTGATTTAAAATCTAAAATGTCGCATGCAATTTTCTTGAACGGTTCATTCGGAATGTCATGTGGCAAGAGCGGCTCTTTTTGAATTTTCGGCGCATTCTCTTGACAAATAATGCAATTTGAAACTGTTTGCTCTATTTCATTGGAAATGTTTGGCCAGAATACTGAATTTTGGGCACGTTTGAGCGTTTTGTTTATGCCGAAGTGCGGCTTATGCAATTGGTGCAAAATTTCTTTTCTCATGGATTTCGGAATGATTATTCGTTGTTTATAGAACAGGATTTCGTCTTCGAGCAATATGTCGGACCTGAGTCTATAAAAATATCTCGTGGATGGATCGCATTTGTCTTTATTATTTGGCCATCCGAATTTGCAATATTCCTTGATTTGCTCTAAAATTTCATCATTGTTCGTCTCTTGCTGTAATTCGATTTTACGCGCGTCTGTCACATTAATCGACAAGATCGACTCAGTAATTGATTGATCTTCCGAAACCTTTTCACTTTTGCTCATATATCTCGATAGATAATCCGCTAAAACTATCGTTTTGCCAGGTGCATGTTCAAGAATTATGTCATAATTGAGTAATTTAAGTCTCATTCTCTGTAGTTTTGCTGACGCTATTTTGTGTATTTCTTTATTCATGATTCCAAGAAGGGGCTTGTGGTCGTTGACAATTCGCACTGTTCTGCCGTAAGTGTAGAAATGAAACTTATGGCAGGCGAAAATAATTGACAACATTTCTTTTTCAATTTGAGAGTAATTTCTTTCAGAAGCGGTTAGGCTGCGTGACGCAAACGAAATTAGTTTGCCATCTTGAATCAAACCACATCCTAAGCCACCCTGTGACGCATCACATTGAATAATTAACTCTTTTGAAATGTCGAAAGGCACGAGAATTTCCGAATTAAGAATGCATTTTTTGATCTCATCGAACACTCTGTCCAAAGGAAAAGAACATTTTTCTTTATCAATTCACGCAACGGAGCCGTTCGATCTGACAAATTAGGTATGAACGGAGTCATGAAATTCACAACTCCAAGAAATGTTTGTAAATCATTTTTGTTCTTTGGTCGTGTCATTTCAGCAATAGCTAAAAGACGTTCTGGATCAGGCTTGATTTGATTATATGAAAAAATGTGACCTAAATATTTCACTTCTTCTAATGCAATTTGTGCTTTGTTTATGTTGAAGCGTACATTTTTCTCTCTTGCGCGGTCCAAAACCTTTTTCAATACTTCATCGTGCTCTTTTCGTGTGCGACCCACTATTAAAATATCATCAAAATAAATCATTACATTTTCAATGTCTCCAAAGTTCTCAAAATTCAATTGTTGAAACACGCCAGGAGCGGTTTTTATCCCAAATGGCAATCTTAAGAATCTGTAATTTCCATAGGGAGTTGCGAAAGTGCAAAGTTTTTTCGATTCTTCATCTAATTTAACGTGCCAGTAACCATCTTTCAGGTCTAATACTGTGAAATATTTCATGCCATTTAATTGTGATGACACATCTTCAAAAGTTGGAATAAATGCGTGTTCATTGAAAATACTTTTATTTAATTCACCTGGATCGATGCATAATCGCAGTGATTTTTCAGCGTCTTTTTTCTCAACGGTGACTAAATGATTCACCCATTCACAATAACCGGTAGCCTTTTCGATTATTTTATTCGCAACTAATTCATCTAATTTCATTTTTAATCTGTGTCTAATTGCCAATGGTACTCTACGCGGTGCGTGAGCGATTGGTGTTGCATTTTTGTCAACGCTGATTTTGTATTCGCTATTGAAACATCCGAGGCCTTTAAACAAATCAGGATAACTTTTCAACACAGACTCTTTGTCAAGGCTAACTTGATCTAGTCATAATTTTTTACTTTGATACGCGGTATTTGTGAATGTGCGCGATTCAACTGTTGGCGAGACTAAACCAAACTGAATGCATGATTTCAAACCGAGAATAGGCATTATGTCAATATCAACAACAGCTGTTTTCATATCACATGACTTTTTGTTAAATTTGCCAAGCAGAGAACACATACCGACTGGTTTCAATTTTTCCCCGCTGAAGGCTCGTAATTTGACATTCGTTCGATGCAATTCGATCTCCGTTCTCAACTGAAGGAACACACTCAGTGGAATCACATTGACTTGGGCACCGGTGTCAATTTTAAATGCAACCAATTGTCCTCCAATCCATATCTTCTCAATCCACGGATAGCTCACTTCATCTTCATCATCTTCAATGGCGTAAACCTTTTCAATTGATGAAATTAAAAATTCTTCATTATCACTAATTTCACAATTTGATTCGTATGCTGAAACGGCTGAAACATTTTTAGATCTACAAACAGAACTGTAATGATTTTTACGTGAACATGTACAATTTTTACCGTAGGCTGGACACTGTCTAATCTTGTGTGTTAATGCGCAATATTTACAATTTACAATCATTTTATCAGACCTGTCAACGTTGCTTGTGTTACCATTACGGTTTGTGTTGTACGTTTGTTGTTGTTGCTGTCCTCTTCCTTCATTCGCACAGTCGCTTCGATTTGCTTTGCTGCTGCCGCTGTTGTTGCCACTTTTGTACTGCTTAGTGTTGTTGTTGTTGGATTTGTGCTGCTTGCGGTTTTGTGTGTGTTTCTTACCGGCCACGTGGCTGCTTTCTTCGAATGCATTCACAGAGACTGTTTTATTCATGCTCGTCATTTGCTCGCTTGTCGCTTCGTGCGTGCGGCACTTATCCACTGCTTTGGTGTAGTCGAGGTCGGAAATTTCCAGTAATTTTCGCTGTAGTCGTTGGTCGTTCACTCCCATGACAATTTG